AGAAATTTGAAAGTAAAGTACATGAAAGTTTGTGTAGGATTTGAATGATATGATAGTTAAAAAAGTTTTAATAAATAAAAAATTAAAATTATCAAAATTACTATAATAATAAAATTATATTTATGAATAAAATATTTTTTGGTTAAAAATATTTGAAATATTATATTTTAATATTATTATTATGTATTTATTATTATTATTATTATGTATTATTTATTATTATTATTATGTGTTATTTATTATTATTATTATTTAATATCATTATTATGTGTTGTTTTTTTTAAGAATACTCTTCAAACCATCTTCTCCATGCTAATTCATGCTTTCCTCACCCACCCATATTCACTTATCATCACCACACAAAAATATCTGCATATGAAATTAATTTAGTAAAAATGCTCACTAATTCCTTTCAAATCTCCTCTCACATTAAAGATATTCTCACTCTTCTCAATTCAACACGCAAATACATGCAAATCTAAGAAAACGAACATGATGAATATTTGTCATTCCGTCAATTATAACAATAAATATGCTACAACGACAACAACCTAAGTTAACAAAAATTCTAAAGTGAAAGTTTTTAATTGGAAATGATTCATCATTTTCTAAAATTTTTATCATAGTTTTACATAATTTATAAGTCGAAATACTATAAATGTGATATACTCAATAATTTTACATACTTTAAAAGTCGAAATACAATGTGTGGTTAAAATGAGTGTTAATTATAAAATTGATTTAAATAAGGAATACATGACAAATAAATACATAAAACATGTATCACTAACATGAAATATGACTGATAAAAAAGGCGTAAAGATATTAATAATGCATGATATCTAACAGTTTTATTTTTTAATTATTTTATTTTAGTGAACAATTGTCATGAAGATTCAATTTAACCTAGAAAATTGGTTTGTCCAAATTTCCTTTGAAAGCAGTTGAATATTTCTTTAATAAAAGAAAAATTAGTTAAATTACATTATTTAAAATGGTAATATTAAATTTTTCATGGCTCTTATAACATTTAAAGCAGTTGCTAATAATGTTTTTAAAAAATAAATTACATAAAAATAGTTTGAAATGATTTTTAAGTTTGGTATACATCCAGCACCAAAATAATTATTTTTCAGTAACAAACTAATTGAGTTGATATTTCTAACATCATAAAATAAAATATTAATACGGTTTATCATGCAATAATATCTTTGATAATTAAAACTTTATTCTAGAATGATACTAGAAAACAAACTAAAATGAATGAACTGAGTGCTCTGCCATTCATGTGACTTACAATTACCTATTATGTTATATTAAATGAATGCACGTCCATATGAGATTTGTCACCATTATACATAAAATAACAATAAAATAACAATGATTTTGCTGGAGGGATTAGTATTTTATTTTCAAATATTATATGATCTACATTTCTTAAACAAATATGGAATAAAAAAAAACACAAAATACCGAATGTTTTCATAATTCTGAAATTATTGTGTTCATCTTGTTTTTTCTATTGTAAATCTCTTAATTTATAAATATCATGTCAGAATACAAAAATTCAAAATTTTTAACCATCTTTCACAATTTTAGGATTAATTCTCTGTTTATTTTTATTTTTATTTTATTTTATATTTTAGAAGATAAACTGATATATTTATTTTTTATTAAAAAATAAAATTAGGTGTTAACATAAAAGAAATAAAGAATGTGCTTGTTGTAACTTTGACCCGGAGTTACAAGTAAAACGTGCATTTATACATTATATTGATTTTGGTCAATTAAGGAGTTTAGATAATTACAAATCACATTCTTCACTTTGATTGAAAATATTAATAAAATATGTTCAACCTATTCTCAAGAAGAAAAGTACATCTTCAAACCGAATAATCCTAATATTAAACATCTAGTTATTTCATATTTTAAATACTGTTAAACTAATGTACATTAAAATTATAAACAAATAAAAAAATAGGATCTAGACTTTATCCCTCTAGTTTTAATAGACATAATTTTTAATAAAATAATAAGGTTTAAAGTCTCTGTTTGTTCGTTATATTTGTGTGTCAATTTCAAGTGGGTCATAGTGTTTTTTTCGGTCTCAATCAGGTCCATAAACTTGTTAAAATGAGCCAATTAAACCCTCTTCGTTAATTTATCAGTAACGTCGTCTGCACATGCTGAAGTGTAATTCTTTTAGATCTCGTGGCATGCTGAGGTGTATTAAATTTTTTTGAATAGCTTATTTGTACAATCAAGCACGAGACTTCTCCTCGCCCATCGCCCACCACGCCGCCCAATCTGGAGTTGCCACCAAGACAATGTTGTGGCTGTCGTACGATAGAGCATTATCACCGGAGCACTGTCAGGGGTCGCTGCTCCTCACCTCCACTAGCACCACCACCAACAACCACCACTCACAAATTTAATTAAACCTAACAGTTTCAAGTTCACAAATGGGAACAAAAAATCAAAATCCCAATTCAACTCCAAGTTCCAAAAATGTGATAAAAAAACCTGCATAGAAAATTCAATGAACCATCCCAGAAATCCCAATTTCAAGACCACAATACACTGTCAATTCGGAAACAAAATCAGACACCATTCCTACATCTGAATTTTTTGGAATCTTGTCATGCACTGAATCATTAGAAGTCACTGGAACGGGATCTTCAGATACTTCCTTACATCAATTTTTGATTTCTTATAGGATTGCTCAAATACTTCCCGTTCATAGTCATTTTCAGAAGCATCTCTAAATGTATTTGACCTCTCTCTACCAGGAAAATAATTGAGACTCTTGATAGTTAAGGCGACAACTCTACGGGGTCCAGCTCTTCCTATTTGGACCCTTCGCATAGGGGATGCTGATCTTCTGGGTCAGATCTTCTACTACCCACTTCACTATAGTCACAGCAGTGCTCCCACTGCAGAAGCAATCCACATAGAGTTCATTTTATCCTCTATGGAGGAATCCTTCTCAAATTCTATACTATCAGATTTTATATTCCCTTTGAAGCAAGTTTTACCGTGTCGATCATGCTCATCAAAAACACCACAAAAGATCATATCTTCAGACATGAAATCCTGCACAGATACAGATCCAAAACATTATCAAAGAGCATTCATCGCTGGTGGGGCAGATGAATGCGAAGATCTTCCTGGAGGGGTAGATGTTCCTGGTGGGGAGAACATTCATCGTCGACGAAGTAGCAGTCTGGCCAGAGTATATCAGCGGTGTCGGCGTGGATCCAAAGTCAGATCTCGTATGACCTAGTTTGAAACCACACACCTCTTTCCCTCAGCTCATCCATCTCCGTTGTGCAAACCAGAACCTTGAGAAAGGAAAAGGCTCAAAAGGAAAGACAAAGACAGTGAAGAATGATGAAGACTTTGAAAAAACAAATCCCTAATGCAAATTCAGGAAAAAAATCCCTAATTTTCTGTCACATAAAAAACTGTTTTATTAAATATAAATATCCACGTAATGTAATCCTTATAACTGAGCTAATAATATGTGCACCAAGTCATCAGAGTTAGACAACGTTATTGATAAATTAACAGAGAGAGCTTAATTGGCTCATTTTAACAAGTTTATAGACCCGATTGAGATCGAAAAAAACACGATTACCCACTTAAGATTGGTACACAAATATGATGATTAAATGAGGGTTTAAACCAAACAATAATTATACTCCTTTAATTTGTTAAAATAAAATAATGTTTTTATATTTTTAATAAAATGGAATTTACTTTTTCTAATAAAGCATTACTTACCCTTTCTTATTTTATTTAAAATATTACATTTATTTAAATTTCACTAAAATTCATGAAAATAAAAAATGTTAAAATATTAAAAATGTAGATTCCCATAAACATATTTCTATATTCTTGTTTAAGTTTGAGTTAATATGTTCCATTTACTAAAAGAAGAAAAGTAAATATCACTTCATTATAAACACAGGAAAAAATAAGTGAGGTTATGTTGTTTTATTAGAAAATAGTCTTAAAAAAGCTACAAAATGTAAATTGTCATTTGATTGAAAAATTAATAAGAAAATTTTAATATTAGAAGAATATGAATTTTCTTTAATATTATCTAAGTATAATTATAATAATAATTATTATTATTTAAAAACTTTAGATACTGTAAAGCACAAGTCTATATATAGTAGTCTAATGAATAACAATAGTAGACTTATGGACTATCATTTGTTTCAGAAATCAATTTGCAAAGCAAGGAAACAGTCATTAATATCCCTTATTTTCCATGCTACATCTACTATTTTAAGCCCTGGATTTTTTTTTTTAATTTTTCTAAAATTCAATCAATAGCATTTAGACTTTTTGTTAATTATTCCCTTATTTATCTTACCTAACTGATAATCACTTATATGCATTTATTAAAATTGTAATCCAGGAATGTAATAAAATGGAAAAACTTACTGCACCAAAATAAACAAAACTGCATACAGAAATGGAAAATCCCATAACTACTTTATTATGTTAGAAAATTTATTGTATTCCAGTACTTCTGCACCATACCATGAAAAGGCAGATAGAAACCCGGAAAATAATGGAGAAGTAACCGAAACAAACTTCCCTTGAGAAAAGTTTGTACTTTGTACAGCTATTAAAGAAGCAAGTATCATCCTCAGAAAATAGAGTCATAGAAGCAATGAAATAGTTGAGGCAAAGTGAAACTGGCTTCCAGCAAGTCAAGAACAACAATGGCATCTCAATCCATAGGTGATCGTGCTCCCTAATCTGATGAAAATGGGAGAAACGAAGAGGTTCCAAATTATGGTGTAGTTGTTCTTGAATGATTTTTTTATAGGTGTTGTTCTTGAAGAATTTTTTTGACAGGTGTTGTTCTTGAACAATGGCTTAGGATGACAGAATATTGTCGTGTGAAGGATCTCTTTGAGGAAGGACCAAACTGACAGCAGACAATGTGAGGTTGACTATAGTTGCTTGCCAAACACCAGTTTTCCTTTTATTCTAGACGGTGTTTGCACATAACAGTGTCTCACCTTTCAATGCGAGGTTGACTATAGTTGCTTGCCAAACACCAGTTTTCCTTTTATTCTAGACGGTGTTTACACATAACAGTGTCTCACCTTTCAAATTCAGGTGTGGATAACTATGTACATCTCCTCTTAAAGCAAGGAAGCAAATGTAGGCCTGCAAATAGTTGAATGATCAAATTCAAACATCAACAAAGAAGGAAAAAGATGATTTAATTCTAAGTAATGCAATAAAAGGTCTAATCTTATCTGTCAGTAAGCCGAAGCAATGGTAAATATAATAGGAACTATATAGGCATATAGCAGGACTTTGAAACCCATAACTTTCTATAAGCACTTTCAATATTAATTTTAAGTAGAGAAAAGAGTATTCAGCTCTATCCTTTTACAACTTAAAGAAGAAAAGATTGTTAGATGTATAAAGTGGTGTTTATCTTACCCCGTGTGTTTATCTGAATTCATAGTGACCGTGATGCTGTTTTTGAAATCTGTTCAAACGTTGGGCTCTTCTTTGTTCCTATGTATAATTAAATGCAATGTCAATCCCTTCCTGTGAAATTCCCAATTACATATCTTTTTTATCTTCTAAATACTAACCTGTTAAAATCTCTAATAAATCTGTATCAATCACCCAAGCAGTCAAGTTTTGAATAATTATCTATCTGCTTTCAGGTTATAAACAAAACATCCCTTGAAAAGAATGCAATGTACTTACAACGTCCAATGACAGACTAACCAGTCAGAAAAAGCATATCTTTCATGCAGATAATATTCTTAGACCTCCCTTGTCACAAGAGGGTCATAATCATATGCTTCGCCTGCTTTAACAAATCTACCTTTCACACGTTTTCTAGTATCGGCCCTTGCTTTCCGAGATGCATATCTTATTTGCTTACCAAACCTGCAGATAAGAAATCAGCAAAGTCTGTTGAGAGTCTCCACCCAGCCTCACCAGAAAACACACTATCTAAAATGGAAACACAAGGGTGAAATGCATGAGGTCTGAACATCTGATAACATCATAAATAGTAGACCATAATGAAGTATGGGGACATATTCCAGAAGAGTTTCAATTACACTACATAATATAGGATAGGATATGTTCTCCCAAAAAATGGTTTTTTAGATGCCAAATTATAATGTGTGTTAGCTCACAAATTCAAATGGTTATATATAGAATAGCACTTGAGTGACTTAAACAACGAACAGTTAAACCTGTCAGTGCAAGCATATAAATTTGAATGAGCATATTAGTCATGAAAGTAAAACAAATGAAAAAAGAAAGTCTTCATTTCATTTTACCATAAAATATGTAGAGAATTAAAGGTTCGTACGTTCGAGTTTTCTTTTTCTCATTGTATCTCATTTTAGCCTTATCCCTTGCTTGTGGGCATGTACCCTCCAAATTTGATTCCCGGGGGATTTCACCCGGCAGAAACATTGGCGACATCCCGCAGTCTTGATATTCAGTAGAACTATTTTCACCCACAATGTTGCCTAATTGAAGAGGTATGCTTGAATGAACTTGACCCTGAGGAAATCCCAGACTGATGTTTCCAGTGCTGCTAGGATTCATAAGTGCACAGTTTGTGTTACTGTTCATAACCTGCAACATACTAACTGATCCAGGTGTCCTAGATGACTGAAAAGCCACACAATCTTGTTGAATTGATGATGATGCCTTAAACAATCACGTGGTTGACAATTAGTTTTATACACTACTGGCAAACCTTATACCATAAGGAAATTTAGAGAGGAGAATCAGAAAATGAGTTTTGAGGAATAACCTCTAAGGCACTCTCAATAAGTGAACTAGATTCGGTGACTGATAATTTTTTATCCATCAATAGACAGTCCACTCCTCCATCTTCAAGAGGGTATCTAGTGGCAGCTTGTGAACAGCCAAATATTTCTTCAGCACTTTCAAAATTTATTGGAGCTCTGTCCACATTGAGACCTTCAGAGAGTCCATTCCCATCACCAGTTCCTCGATCAGTACACTCCTGCGTCTAATTTGAGTTAAGAAGTAACATTAAAAAAAACTTCTATCAGCTTTGGTTAAGGAGAAAAATAGAGAATTGCTAGGAACATGAAAAGAGCTTACTAATTCTCATATTGCATGTTCTAACCACATTTGTCAATATTATAGTTCTTCTTTCCCTGTGAAATGTTACATTTCAGAATATTTGTTGTTTTAGTTAAGTGTTTCTTTAAGAAACTAAGACATAATTTTTTTCCCTTTTATAACTTTGTCTTTATTTCTAAGTATCTTTTGTTGTTCACTAAATGGAATGCAAGAAATTACCTGAGTGGTAATATTTCGAATACTTTAACAGTGGATAATTTAGTCGTGTACAATTATACTTCTTATAATTGCGGCAATTTAAGAGTTTTCTTAATCCTTGTGCAATGGCTGCATTTATTTGACATATACTTTTAAATAGAGGGAGCAAAGAAACGCACTGATAATGTACTAAACAATGGTGTGTTATCTTTACAAGTTAAAAACAATGCATACATACTGCTTATAATGAACCAAAAACACAAAAATCAGTAGAAGGCATAGCTTGCATACCTTTGGCTGGTTTGAGTCCTGAGCTAGGAAAAATCCTTCTTCCTTGCAGTACGGTGTGTAATTTGGATTTGAAGGAATGATGTGAGGTTGCCCCATCCAAGGTTCATATCTGACACAAGATTCAATTTCATCCAACTTCTCAATCACCAAACTAAAGGAACCACCATTGTGATCAGGTTGCTCCAGGCTAGTGCAGCTATCACTTTTTGGCAAAGTGCTAACAGATTCCCAACCAGCTTGTGAGGAACTATCATCAAACACAAAGGACCACATCCTAGAAAACTCAGACAAAGAAGGACAACCATTGTAACAATTCAACGTGAGGCGCCTATGTCCCGCTGCAAAACAAGCAGTCGGGTTCCAGTCACAACTTTGACACGAGGACAACTTATGATCCATGCAACGTATCACTGCTGGCTGGGAATAGCACTTATCACAAAGGAGAGAACGCGAATGCCTGCGAGACAGAGAATTTGCGGAGTGCACACAGCCATCGCAATGCAAGCAGAGACGAGCACAATCTGACTTGCAATAAACCACAGCTATCACAGCCCAACAAAACTCACACAGAGGTTCCATGCCCCTACAATGTCACTCATTATTCATCATAACTCACTCAACTAAACTCTATCATGACATAGACAACTCAACTTCATTTGTTTTTACTCCAATTCTCTCAACACGATGATCTAATACTAAATATGGACACTGTTACAACTATGCTAAACTCAATTTATTCTAAGATGCATTTCCTAACCTTTAGCCATCTCCAACCAAACAAAAAGTTACAAAATGAATCTTTCTGAAATTAAACGCAAACAAAAATGAAAGCAAGTGTAGAACAAATTAGGTTCTTGAACTACATAGTTTAGTAGATGAATTTGTATAATCTTTCTTTTTCCCTTAGCGGAATCATTCCTTGAATTCTTCCTATTTTTGTATAATAATTTCTTTAATTATTTAATTTTCAATTCACAATAAGAGCTCGAACTCAAGAACTTTGCTTCTCTATCCTATAAAAATTGATACCAATAGCGTGGCATTCTTAGATAGAAAAGATTGATTATTTCAGATATATGATTAGTTCATGTAAAACTAGTTGAGCTGCAATATCAAATTTGAAATTAAATCCTTGACAGCTCAAAAACAAAGAAAAGTTATCCATCATACATCATAATTGTTAATTATGTAATGCGCAACATAAAATAAAAAATGAGTTTTAAACTTACCAGACCAAAATTGCTGTAGCTCCCTTCCAGACGCAGTTGGTACAGAATATTATCCAAGATCTGGAAGCCCAGAACCCATGAATGTGAATGAGAGAAACAAAGCTAGCAGACCAAGGTTCTAGTAACACTAACTCAATGATCACTTTATTTATTAGGTTTGCTTTGTTAGGAGTTGTCACAATAGCAAAAGCGTGAAAATAGAGTATTTGCTGATGTGGACTTGTTTGTGGAAGAAACTTTCAGCCATTGATCTGACTGTAATAAATTCAGCAGATTTAATCGGACAGTTCATCATCCGTAAATAAATGCAAATAAAATATCGGAAGTATTATTTGGACTCACAATGTATTGAGAAATATTTGTAGAACTTATGAAGAAAAGGATTTTGATTTTGATTTTGGTTTTGGTTTTGGTTCTGGTTTTGTGTTATTTCATGGACAAAACGAGCCAAATAGATTCTGATTTTTAAACCGCCGTCTTCTTTTCCCAAGGTCATAATTAATATTAATATTATCTTGCTTTTAAAAATCATGATATAAGTAGAATAAAACTGTAACATCATCAATTTAATAGCAATTTTAGTTTTTTAAATATTGATTAATATGGAAACTAACTTCTTCTTTTTTTATTTAATAATTGCTTAATCCTAGTTAATAAACCCAACGAAAAACACGGTAAAAGCAGAAAAAACATGAGGAGAGTGAGAAGGGTTTAGGTGGACTAGTCCACGTCACCTAATTATTGAGTTTGGTTAATTATTGAGTTTGGTTCAGAGCTATATATAGACTTAATTTAAAATAAATAAATAAATAAAGAAAAAAAATAGCATTGAATAAATCTTATCTATATATTCTTTTTCACTTCTTCCGTTTTTGATTACATAATTTTATATATACATAATATTTTACACAAAAAGCATTAAAATGTGTGTTTTTAATTGGACCATATAATATTCACATTTAAAAAACTGAGTATCCATTCGTATCTTCGGCAAAATCTTTTTATTATACTATTTTATTTTCTATATACTCAATAAAATATAGATAATATAATAGTAAATATTCAATTACATATAATATATCGGTATTAAAATTTATTTAAAAACTAATTAATAAATTTAATAATTTATTTTTTATCCGTTTTTAGTATAAAAGCTTATACTATCATCTAATTAAAATAATTATAGATATATGTTAAAGTAACTGTTGTTAGAGATATACAAAATAATTTACACGCCTAATATGTTTGAATTAAATTCCAAGACATATGGGATACTTTTTAAATTATATTATAATAAAAAATGAACATTTAAAAGTATAATAAGACAAAATTTCACATAAAAGTTATTGTACGTTAAGGAATGATTAGGACCAACTTAAAATTCTACAGGTTATTACCAAACTTCAAAATAGTGCAACACGGGTCTTCTCCCCGGTTCAAATACACGCGTTCAGTTCGTCCTTCGCAATCTAAACCCTTTTTCCGCCATGTGAGATAGCGAGCGACACAGCCACGGAAGTAATCACACAAACACATCAATTCATCCTTCAATTAACGCCTCCTTTCGATTCGATTTGATTCGGTACGGCTCCCTACTTCTTTGGATCGACATTTACATGCTCAATTCATTCTTCGATTAGCTGAAAAATTGTTTGCATTTCCGATTTCTGAAGTTTTACAATGTAGCTAGTGCATGAATCGTGGTAGAGCTTTTGTTAATTTAGACTGTGCTTTGTGTCGCTTGCTGTGTTGATCTCTTTAATTAGTTCAGTTAGGATTTGGTAAAGTACATAAATAAAGTAGTTACTTAGTTAATTAATTAATTAATTTTCAAATTTCTGCATGTTGACAGATTATTAGGGGAATTGGAGGAGGGGGTGCAGGTACAAGAGCGTAGTTGTTTGTGTTTTCATTTCATCTATGTTTGGAGGTGTTGCCAATCCTTCTAATAGTACACACTTACGCAAGTCTGGGAGTAGACCAGTTGTTTATGATCTCGGTAACTTTAATTATAAGTCCCTTAATTTTTAAGTTTTTTCCTTGTATTGGATTGGTGATTAAGTCCACATAACTTCTAGTTTGTTCTGTTCTTAGATGAACACGAAGTGGAGAATGGCGTCGAGGAAGGTTTATTGCATCCGGTGGAGGCAGACGATTCGAAGGGTAGCGTGACAGCTGTGGGTGCTGCTACAATGATGCCATCACCCGCCTTGTTGTGGAGATCCAAGGTTCTTACATTGCTTTGCCTTTTAGAAAGTGTTCGGAACTTTGTTTTGGTTTTTAATTAATAATTTATGATGTATTTAATGCTGTCATTTTAATGAATGCAAAAATTGTTTGACTTAATGATGGAATGTAATGTTTCTTTCATTATGTTTGATTCTTTCTGGGAGAAAAATGTAGTAAATGACATCATTTATTTGAGTACAGAATGACATAATGAGCTGCAATGTGACTTCTTTACATTTATTTGGTTTCTAATTTTCCTTTTACTTTCTTTCTTGTCCTAGCCGTGTGTCCTCCTACTGTTTTACTTCTTTACATTTTATTTTTCTTTTATTTTTCCTTTTACTTTCTTTCTTCAATAATGCAATTGAGATGACTCTAGGTGCTATTGTTCCTCATTTGGGCCTTCATCTGTTGTAAGGTCAGTGGTATTTGTCTCTGCTATGTTTCTACTGAACTTCTGTTGTAGTTTCCACAATCTTATTTGCCGTGTTGGAAATTGTAGATTGGATGGGATTCTGTAATGATAATGAGTGCAGACAAGCGGGATTTGTTCCTTTATGAAGCATTTTTGTATTTTAACCCTCTTCTTCTGGCGGTTAGTCCCCCTCCTCCCCCTACACACTGTCTCGGTCTGACACTCTGTGGATGCATGGATTCACCCCTTTGCATTCACATTTGTTGTATGATGTGTTTTATCTCTTTGTTATATTTCAGGCTTTGATGATTTGGCTGTGGGGAATCAACTTATGGTTTTTTGCTCAAGGCGGAGTCAATTATGCAAAAATATTTGATCTTGATCAAAATCATCTGACCCATAGAGAAATATGGAAGGTATCAACTCACCACTTTGACCTATGTCTTGTTTCAGATTCAAGGAGAATAAAATTGGCAGTGTCATGACTTGTTGGGAACAATGGTAGAGCAACTATCTCTATTCCAATATTTGGTTTGCTCGAGAATGTACTTGTATGCCAGTTTTTTTCATTCAGTTTTCATGTTTAGTACTTGAAATAAGCATTGAGTGGAATCGCGAGTATTTTTTATTTTTTTTATCAACAAATATTAATTGTTAGTTTTGTTACTGGGGAAGTTGTTAGTTTTGAATCGCAAGTATACTTTATATGTTTATAACTAGTAAAATTAAATAAGGAAAGGAAAGAAAAAAATTAACACTTCCAGTTTGCAAAGAATGACAATTTTGAAGGGTGGGAATGGGGTTTCCTGTGGAATAAAGGTGCATATGTTAATCATTGTTTCATATTTTTGCCAACTAAGGAGCGGCCATTTCTGTGTACTAATTACGCTTTAAATAATTTTTTTTTTACTACTCTATGGTCTTTACGTTAGTCTGGTTGGTTTTCCCTTCAATTATTGTAATTATATCTAAATTGGGACATCTCCCTGGCTTTGTTGTCATCCATTTCTCTAATATTTCATTTTTCTGTTTTTACACCAACTCTTCGTTTCCTTTGTCAATAATTACTCTTGAATGATTGACTGAAGTCTTTTTCTTTTCCTATTTGATTTTGCAGTGTGCTACATGGATGACAATTATTGTTCCAACTAGTATGACAGCATACATTTATCTTTATTCTCATGGAGAAGTCTCCTATGCTGCATCACAACCAGTGTAATAGATGCATCCACTCATTAGTTATTATTTTTGTTTGCTTGGATATCATGTTTTTGGAATTTAGTTCAGTTAGGTAACACTTAAGTTTGGGGAAATAATTTTTCAAAAGCTTCCTCATAAATCCTGCAAAATAAGCAAGCATAGGCAATTGTTTCTTTAAGATAAGCTGAACCAAACGCACTTTATATTGGTAATTTGTTTCTTGAAAGTGTTTTATTTGCTTGCAGTTTTTTTATGCCTTTGATCAAACAAAAAGTTTATGATGAACCAATCTAATGAAAGCTGCACATTGCCTGCAAAATATCTGTAGCAAATGAGTACTGATCATGTTATTGGGAGGTAGTTTCAATCATTTATTAATAAGGTAATATTATCAGACTGGATGAGAAACCTAGTTTAGTGAAGAGAGTGAGAAACAAAAGGTTATTATGTAGCACAGGTGTTGTGTGATCCATGTACCCAACCTTGTATAATGGAATGAAGCTTTACTGTTATTGTATTCATTAGATTTGGACATAAAAAGATCTACTTCAACTGGGATAGTGTTTATTGTTAATCATGGTGTTAATAGCTCTATTATATCTATTTCTTTTTCTTGTGGTGGTGGTAAGGAAGGGAAAAATACTGTGTAATTATATCGGATGTTTTTATTTAAATACCTTCAAAATGGTTAGTTAGCATATTTCTTTGTTTAAATTCAGTGTTGGTTGGTTGGTAATTTATGTTTGTTTGAATCATCCAAACTGCTCGGTCTGAAAAAGTACACTCAGTTTCAATCATATGTTAATAAAAAGCATACTCTGTATTCAGTAACTCAGTAAACTCCAGTCAATCATCATATAGAAAATAACTTATAAATGAATTTTTTTATTTGTTGCAATATAAATGGACATTTAATTCTATTTTGTGCTTCCTTTTTTTTTATCTTGTTGGATTTTATTTTTTAAATTTTCTCATGTATTCTGCAGGTGCTCTTATATGCTGCCGCAATATTGGTTTTGATATTCCCCTTTGATATTTTTTACTTTTCATCTAGATATTTCTTCTTAAAGACACTTGGGAGAATAATTTTCCCATTACAGGCAAGTTCACTCTCATTTGTATTGTGTAAATTCTTACAGTATTACTCTTCAAATAGTAGAAAATTCTAGCATTTGGCTTATATTTATATATGCATGAGTGGGCAGGATATATAAACCTTCAACATAGATTGTTAGACTCATTATATTCACTTGCTTCTCTGCATTCAGTTTTCATGAAAGTTACACAAGTACTCGTACAACTCCCCCTGTCATTTGGTGGCCATAAAAAACATGCTATTAATGTTAAAGCCTTAGATTACATACTCACATGCTCTTCCAAGTGTAATGAAGTGACTAGAAAAAAGCTAGCAATCATTGGTAATAAGTCATTCAAAACACAATTTATAACCTTCTTATCACAGCCTTTGTCTCGATAGGTGGTGCATCCATCTAGATATACTACTATGTGCATGCACACAAGTAAAACCCCCAAAGAGGCTTCATGATGAACTTTCCTTCAAGAAATGTGATAACTGTTGCGATGTTTAACTTTGATGAATAGAAGAAAATTATTCTTGTTCTTTATTTACTGAGATTTCGTAAGTTTGATGTTTGAGCCAAAACCTTGCTCATGGCTCTACTTTGTACCTTATGAATTGATGCTTTTAGCATAGTGTTGGAACTTGGAACTATGCTTGAATATGATCTAACTGTTTTCTGTTTTATTAAAACAGGCAATATCGTTTGCAGATTTTTTCTTGGCTGATATCTTAACTTCCATGGTAAAGGTGTGCTTCCTTTTCAATTTTATATTTCTATTAGAAAAGCCTTTGTCCTTCTCTTCCTTGTAAATCTTTAACGTTAGGTTTTGCGTCTAGTCTATTTCATTTAGAGATTTGGAGCTATATGCTTTTGCGTGTATTTACTTATTTTTATTTTTATGGATACAGTGGTCTAACACTGACTTAACCTGAGAGTTTAGAATTGACATAATCTGTTGATCTAAATTTTAGTATCTAGTAATGTATAATTATATTATTTTGATTATGGTTGTAAATTGTAAATTTTTGCAGGTGTTTTCTGATTTGGAGCGTTCAGTATGTAGAATGATCCATCGACAGGTTTGATTCTGATAAATTGCTTCTAATATCTTCTATTATTGGTTTGAGAATTTATATTTTTCATTTTATTTTAGCAACTTCAATATCCCATTCTGACTATTACAGAACTTGATAAAGTTCACGGGTATGATGAATTCCTTTTATTGAGATGGAACAAGTTTACTTGATTTCATTCAAAATATTTTCTAGAACTAAATCAGTTTCATTTGATTTTGTAATATTGAGATTTGGAACTTGATTTCAACTTTTATGGTACTCACTGTTCTCTGTTCCAGTGGAGCTTATTTTTAATGAATAGACTTTTTGGACCTATATATTTAGTTTTTGCTTGCTGTGGATGCTTCATTTCTCAGCAAATGATTGCACTTTTTAATATTTTTGTAGGTTGCCACAATTGCTTGGTTGGAAGCTGATTCTGTTTGTGGCAGCCACTCTGTCGCAATCCCTTTGGTTCTTGTTTTGCCTTATCTTTTCCGCCTAAACCAATGCCTCCGTCAGTACAAAGATACTGGAGAGAAAACTAGTCTTCTGAATGGTAAGAATTCTTTGTTTTTAGAACATATTTTAATCATTATCTGAACTTAGCAAGTTTCTGTAATATAGAACTTCTTTTTCCTGTTTGGTATTTTATCACAAACTTACGTTTGTGTCAATGGTCAAAATTGTATCAGACATAATTTAATATACAGGGAATGTACATTGATTTTTTTATGCTTTGCTTCCATGTGTTTAAGACCCATTTCATATTACCAATATTATTTAGTGACTTAAATGCAATGTCAGTATGTCAACTTTCATAAGCATATTTTTTGAAATTATGTTTAGCACGTGAAATAGTTTTTCCACCGTACTTTAAAGTCTTCAAGCTTGCTTCTTTTGAATCCAATATGATGCATGGATTCTCATAATTGATTATAGGTTGTTACGTGTAACATAATATAAAATGGGACATTTTTGTTGAGTTTTCATGATGAAATTGGATATAGATTTTCTTATGATTTTTGGAAATTGTTCTATTCTTGTCAAAAAAAGGAACAGAAGGAAACATAAAATATTCATGTCAAGGACTAAACTCTCTGTATTTTGCTTCTCTTTATGCTGCTGGTAAGATGAAATTTTAACACTTCTCGTCCTTACATGATCATATTTTATGATTCAATTTTCGTGACTTTATATGATATTATGCGACTGCATAAAAAATTTGAGAAGACGTGTTCAATTTTTTTCTGATTTGTTTATAATCATTATGCTGTTTGTATGTTATCTGCTGCTGGCTTTATATATTTTTGCACTGAAGATTGAATTCTTTAATTATTAATGAACAACTTATCATGTTTTTCAAACAGATGGTTTTATTTTCTTGAACTGATCTTAATTTCTTTTGGTTATGGTTTCAGCCTTGAAATATTCGACTGCAGTGCCTGTGATTTTTCTCTCTGCCCTTAAATATCATGTCTTCCCTGATAAGTGGACAAACTTTTATAGGCCTCTCTGGCTTCTGTCAGGGGTTGTGAACTCGTCATACTCCTTCTACTGGGATGTAAATCGAGATTGGGACCTAGGGTATGCCAGTGTTTGTCGTATTATGCACTTTTAATAGTGTCTTGAGTTATGCTCCTCACTGTAGAGATGTAGATTATACTGCCAGTAATGTTTTTATATCTTAGCCAAACACCTTAAGAAATAGAAGAAATTATTATTTTTTAGAAGTGAGGCTAGTAGTTTTTTGGATTTGACGAGTGTTGTTTAACTTGCTATGATCTAATTTTTACTTTCTCTTTTCACAGTGGCTTCACTCGAATATTCAAGTTTAACAAGCCACATCTGTTCTCTCATATGTTACACGGAAGGAGATGGGTAAGTCTTGTTGTATGAGAATAGCTTCAGTTCAGCAGTACTTTTTCCCTTAGAATTTATCGTTATATTGCTTTTTCAAGGTAAACAGTGGGGTAGCGGAGTTACACCAAAATGATTTTAAAGAGATCAAAATATTAACATTTATGGGACTCGGGGCTTTCAAGAAAAAAATATTGTTTATGAAGGCCAAGTATGTATTACAAAGCACGAAATACGAAGATAAAAATGATTTTGCAATTATAAAATTTTAAATAGGCCACGGAATCCTCAATTCACAATAAGCCACCCGTTCTTGTATGAAAAATCAATTCAACCACTAATGATAACTCTTCGTATGCGTATAATCTTATTAATGTGATTCTAGCCAGTTTACTGAAATTATGTAAACCCATATGGTAAAAAAAAGAAAGTAACAGGGGACAACTGAAACAAAGGACAGATTGTTTTCTCAATGTGCTGAAGTGGTTTACATATACAGGTATACTTTTGGGTGATTGGAAGCAATTTGATTTTGCGTTGCACGTGGACATATAAGCTGTCTGCCCATCTTCGTCATAATTACCTCACGGTGTTCATAATTGCTGCTTTGGAGATTTTCCGCCGCTTCCAGTGGATCTTCTTCCGTGTTGAAAATGAGTGGAACAAGCTGAATTCCAAATCACACTCGCATCTCTCAGCCAAAGAAATCCCAAACGATGAAGAGAACTTACTTCATTCCATTGACTACAGTGTATAGGCTAGATAGAGTATGATGCCTAATACTTTGGCAGTATCATACAAGATATATTTCAAATATTTTGACGATAGGGGATCTCCATTCCTTACGACCACTGGCTTGGCTACCCCTGGTATTAAAATGTCATTCTTTGTTAACCAAAAATGAAAAACAGTTCATTCTTACTGTGCTCCAGCAATATCTTATTCCATGCTACAACGCTTTTATCATGTATTGCAATACTTCTGGTTGATAGCATCGTTGTTTTTATGGGCCCGTAGCACCCCCAATATGTTGGGTGTTCATAAGAGTGAAAAGAAAATGTGATCTCGTAAAACAATCCTTAAATATATAATAGTATTATTACTGTTCTCTCTGGGTTAAAAGATGGCTGCATCACGGATCCTTAACCTACTCTACAAGCCAACACTAGAAAAAAATGATTTTGCCCATGCCTTTTGGCCAGTAGCTATCATTTAACTATTATGAAGTAGTTGAATTAACATTATTTAGTCACTGCTTCGACGTTTATGCTTCTAAAAGTTCCTGCAAAGGGGCCTAGTATTTTGCAGTGTACGAAGATAGACCTCCAGTTTTGTTTTCACACGAACCAAGCGAGTAAAGTTTATGTTGCCAGGCTGTATTCTCGTGCATGGCTTGTTTTTATCCTCTGACAGCCCAAGGGTGGGGTGGGGTCCCTCGATAAAGAATATTAGTGGCTCGAGATTTACAAGGTAAAGGATGCTAAACTTTCAATCGCAATCCTAATATTTGGTTTGTGGTAGAGCCACACACGTCAGGTATACAGTCTGACTGGTTTCCCCTAATTGGATAACGAACAGGTTTGCAACTAACGGCCCCTTAAGTCTTTAACCACTCAAATAGTAGCCATGGGCATCTGTAATATAAGAACCTCTGGTGAAACCTCCAAGAGATGGCCTAAATGTTAACAGCAGGTGAATACAGCAGCAACCACGGTCGGCAGCTGCTGCCGGAAACAAGCTTGTCCGAGCTGAACTTGCCCAGAGTTCTCTTTGTCCTGTCTTCCATGTTAGAGAAGCTGGTAGCTCGGAATGAAAAGCTTGTGGATGTCCTGAACCAGCAGCTAGATGGTCTGACCTGTGGCTCAGTAAGACTTGGTAACAGCTTGAATACTTTTCATGGCGTAAGAGCACCAAGCATAAGCATACCTAAGTACTTGGAGAGGATATACAAGTACACTAACTGTAGCCCCTCCTGTTTTGTGGTTGGCTATGTGTACATAGACAGGCTCACACATAGACACCCCGATTCCCTTGTCACATCCTTGAATGTACACAGGCTGCTAGTTACCAGTGTCATGGTCGCTTCCAAGATGCTGGATGATGAGTGAGTCCCTGCTCCATTTCTCCCTGTTCACATTTACTTACGATATGATTTCATGCAACGTTTGCGTTTCTTCATATTGTGAGAAATTACAGATAAGCGCTGCCGAAATTGCGATTCCAGACAGTCTTTTAAATTAAAACATTAATTTTATGGATTTTACTTAGGATGTGGTGTTTTGCAAACAGCTGAAAAAAAGTGAAGATGAGTTTTAGTTTAACGAATCTGACTTGTCTGGTTATATAGTTTAATAGCTTACACTTTCATGAACCCTTGAATTAGACAATAGACAATAGCTTTATTGTCTTTATTCCGGTTGTCTATTATTTTACCTTATTCTTTGCTTTTGTGAGTTGTAGACATTACAACAACGCCGTTTATGCTCGAGTGGGAGGAGTGAGCAATGCTGAATTGAACAAGCTTGAGTTAGAGCTACTGTTTCTGTTGGATTTTAGAGTTGTTGTAAGCTCTGGTGTATTTGAGAGCTACTGCTTTCACTTAGAAAAAGAGATGGCTGTGAATGGCACAGGCATGAAGATTGAAAGGGCATTGACACCAAAGGCTATGGAAGACCTTGAGGCTGAAATATCCGTTGAAGATAAACAAAGCCCTTCCCCACCTCAAATTGTACACTGACATCATCGCTCGTTGTTTCTGGTCAATTTTGGGTCCCATACCCTTCTTTGTCCTTCCCTTCATCTTCACACCCTCCCACTAATTGGATCATTCATGGCCCAATTTCGTTTTTTTCTATCTCATGTCCATGTCAAAGCTTCTCGTACCTTTTGCCTCCTGCAAAAGAAAAAATAACAGTACCATATCAGTCATACCAACTGTATCAATTTGGCTTTCACCACAAAATACAGTTATCTTACTTTTTCTCTCTTTTTCATTTCTAAACAAAGCTTGTTCTTCTTCATAGAGAAATGTTAGCATAAGATTCTTAATTAAAATTTATGAACTCCTTAATGGAAACAATCCTTGTATAGTGATACTTACTTTCTATAATTTCAATTTCACAGTTTTTAATAATAAAGAAGTTGCTTTGTAAAGGGTATGATGTTAACAATCTCCTGATCGAAAAATTTGAATGTTCAGCACATTTTGACAGAGTTGAAACCTAATTTGTATGTGATCAAATTAGGAAGTTCTGACATGTTGTTCTAATGTTTTTACTATCGGATTTCTTTTAATCAGTTAACTAAGATGTTGAATGGTTGAAAAAGAGATCTTGAAGTTGAATTTGAGTTGACTCAGAATTTCAAATATCAAATTAATTTATCACTTGAACGAGAATTAAACTAAAATTATTTGGTCATATACTATAAATTATAATAGATAATTTGAAGAGTGCAACTATTACTCTATCAATTAGACATATAAAGGTAATTTGATTATTTTAAATATAATGTAATTTAGGTGGGGTTCAACTTAATAAGAAAATTCAAACTGACCCGACCCGCTTCGAATTAAAAAAGTGAAAACTAATTTCATATTTCATTCTATATTATTCATTATAAATTTAAAATATTTGTTTATTTAAAAACTTTTATTTAATGCATCTTTAATTACACTATAGTTATATATATTTAAAAATATTTACTTATTATAAAATTTAAAATTTATTTTATGTAGTGTACAAACTAAAATACTATTTACCTTAATAGTACAATAATGTAAATAACTATTTTATTTATACATTCACTAAATAAGACAATAAGTGAAAATTTCCATCCCATAGTGGATTTGCGCCTAATAAATGAAAGGAAAAAAATTATCTTATTTTAAAAACAAGTTAATTTTTTTGTTATATTATAAGTTTTCATGTGTCTCGAACCTATTAAAAGAAAAAGTGTTATGTGAAGTAGAAAGCTTTTATTTTTGTCTTATTTGGTCTTATTAACTCATTATTGTCAAAAAGTTATTTTGTTTTGTATGCTTGACCTTCAAAATAAATGTGACGAAATTTAAAGACAAATTTAAACAGTTTCCGGTTGCGTTTCACTCACATACTCTTGTGTCTTTTTTTTTAATCATAAAATATATTATATTTTTTTTAATAGCGGCAATTCATACAATTTATAAAAGAGAGTGTTTTTTACCACTACACGAATATAATATAGGGATAAAACTAATATATTTGTATCTTCAATGGCTTAATTACCTACTTAGTCCCCATGTTAGGAGGTAATTTTCTGTTTAGTACCCGGTTTTAAAAATGTAGGCATTTGGTACCTATGTTTTGAAATTTTTATCAATTCAATCCTATCCAGTTAACGGCGTTATAATTGATGCGAGAAATTAAGGACGTTAATGATAGCCTGGGTGGAATAGCTATCAAATGTTTGAATGCATCTTCTTTAACGTCCTTAATTTCTCGCATCAATTATAACGCCGTTAACTGGATAGGATTGAATTGATACAAATTTCAAAACATAGGTACCAAATGCCTACATTTTTAAAACCGGGTACTAAACAGAAAATTACCTCCTAAGATGGGGATTAAGTAGGTAATTAAGCCTCAAATAATCTTATCTTTTATATACTTTTAGTTTTGTACCAGTTAGATTAAAGTTTCAATAAATAATAACTCAATCAAAATTTTGGGGAGGGCAACTTTTTTAAAATCCATCCTCACTGGTATAGTCAAAATTCATTCTCTTAAAACTGTTATTATTATTTTTTTCATTTGAAGATACTTTTTTTTATTGGGTTATTTTTATTTAAGAAGTAGAAATAGTTGTTATACTTACATAAAACTATATAAAACAATTCATGTTTAAAAGATAGCTATAAGTACAATGAAAATCAATGAGTTTCACGTGTTATCAAATAATTAAAAAAAAAGTATGCACACACTTCTCAAATAATTTTAGAAATTAATTTTGAAATCAACATTACAAAAATTCTTAAGAGTGTGTTCACTTGGAGTAGATGATTTGGGGAGAGTTAGTGGATGAAAGTGGATTGTTTGTGAAAATTAGTGTAAAATTTGACTGATGTGACAGATAAAAGAAATTATTTAATTGATAGAAATCGAAGATTATCAAAATACCTTTAGTTATAAAAGTAATATAAAATAATAATTGTTAATGTTATATATAATTGTAAAAATGTTTATAAGTAGAAAAAAATAAAAATTAATTTTAAAATGTAAAAAATGATAATTTAGTAAATTGAAATAATAATAATAATAGTAATTATTATTATTAATATTATTTTTATTTTTATTTTTATTATTATTAATATTTATATTAATATTATTGTTATTATTATTTTTTAGTTTATCCTCTATAAATTCATTACATGTGCAAGTGCAACTTTATGAGGGTAAAAATGAGAATGAATGATACATCCTGCAAATCTGCACAAACGAGGAAATATGAGAAAAATCGTTTTTCCCACAAATTTGCGCTTCCAGTCGCTCACAGATCATTTAAAGTAAACATACAATTCGTCCAAAATCCATCTTCTATAATCAACTACAATAGTATCTTCCATCAAAGTTAACTGAGCGTATCTTCCCGTAAAAATGTAGTTAGTTGATGGAATCAAAATCACTTAATTAATTTCATGTTTTCAAATTGGGTTAAATATGTTTTTAGTCCCTAAACTATTGGCCGTTTCTGGTTTTCGTCCCTGTTTCAAAGTAAGGTACAATTTGGTCCTCATTCTTTTCGAAACATTCGTTTTAGTCCTCGAAAACTAAACACTGTTTAAAAATTTGGTCCTTATTTAGCAACAAATGAGGACTAAAACCAAAATTCCGAGGACTAAAACGAACGTTTCGAAAAGAATGATGACCAAATTGTACCTTATTTTGAAAGAGGGACGAAAACCAGAAACGGTCAATAGTTTAGGGACTAAAAACATATTTAACCCTTTCAAATTTTTATATATTTTTAATTAAATATTAAATATGTTTTCTTAATTAATTATTTAAATTTTTTATATTTTATTAATTAAATATTCGAAAATTTGTATATGTTTTAACAATATATATCATTTAATTTTTGTATTAATAAAATAATCTGATTGTTATTTTATTTGAAATTAAATATATTTTAATTTATTAAATCAAAATAATAATGTCTATTCATTTTTTAAGTGGCACAATAAAATGGAGTCAAACTTTAATATAAACAAATTCTAATTTCACTTATAAATTTAGAAATTAAAAATATTTCAACTCTTTTATTTATTTGTTTTCAAATATTAAAAATATAATAATACAGTATTATATATAACATCCTAAAAATATAGCTGGAAACTATAAAGACCTGAAAAATAGAGTGTTATAGAGCATATTGGTGTATTAGAATAATGAGATAGATTATTTTACTTTAAAATAATCTTACAATATAAATTTTATTTTTATAAACTCACTTCTCATTATTCTAAGAACACTTCATCTCTTTAGAACTCTATTCCTCAAAGTTCTTTGACTTCTCTCTACAAATTCTCTCTGCTGAGTTATCTGTTCAACGATCAGGAGGTGCCTAGGCAATCCTGGCGTTGAGGGCTTCGTTTTGGACCGATCAATTTCGTGTTCTTCAGCTGGTAAGTGGTTTTCATTTCTGTCCGTTCTTCTCTGGACTGTGAACATGCACTATTTCAGCTTTGCATGTGGTTAACAATTCTTCCTTCCATTTCTAGCTCAATTTAGGTTCTAAGTGTTGTTTTCTATCACCAATTGGTGAGTTGTAGGTTTCTGTTGAGTTTCCTTGCAGTGCAAGGTACGGTTGGAGCGTTTCTGTGTTCGGGGCTGTTTATCTCTGAGGTAAGGGAAGCTAGGTTGTGTTTCAGTTATAAATTGGTACTATATGTAGTAAATTCTGTGTTAAAATGTTGTGTGGTTAAAATTCCAGCTTGTGAGTGTATTTTCTTGAAATGTTAAATTGTGGAAATTTTGGAATGATATTGATGCACTGGTTTGGATGAATCTAAGTGCTGTGATTCTGCAAATTAGAAGTGGTTACTGCATATAATCTATTATGGTGTTGATGAAGTAAAGTGTTAGGTGATTTGAGTGTGTTTAGTGTGTTTTAGAGGAAGTGAGGTAGTGAATTTGAGTAGTAATGGTCAAAGACTGTTAGGGACTGTTGGGGTAGTGTAGATAGGTTATATGTGACTGGTTTGAGTCAACAAAATGATCAAGAACAGGTTCAAAGTGGTAGAATTGATTTTGAGTCTCTAAGTTGATGAATTTGAGGTTTTAAAGTATAGTTTGGTGCATAAACACTTTAGATTGGGGTTAGGAATGTGTAGAATCATTTAGTCTAGTCCAATTAAGTATATATATCGTATTAGGATTGTTAGAAGTTGGCAAAATTGAGTGGATTTGGTAAAGAGGGGTTGAGTTGCATAATTGTAGAATTTCGTTCTGCAGATTATGCAGACTCGTTGTGCGAATGGATTCGCATAACGAGCCACCTTGGCGAGGTGCTCTCTGCTAAGGCACTCGCATAGCGAATGGGTGCGCTGTGCGAGTGAAGTGAAAGGGTTGCTCTCTGTTTGTGAATCCGCATAGCGAATCTAATCGTTATGCGACTGGTTGGGGTCTGGAACCACTGTCTTTTTATTCGAACAGCGAGTGGGTCTCGCTCTGCGAGTGTTTAGGGAGTCAAGTCTCTGTATGAGGTTCCCGCATAGCGAGTTGGGACGCTATGCGAGGGGTTGGGGTCTGATGCATTTCACAGTTTATTCGCATAGCAAGTTTAGTCGCTATGCGAGAGATCAAGAGTAGTTGGTCTTTGTCTAAGGTTTTCGCAAGGCGAGTTAGGTCGTTGTGCGAGAAGCT